AGATCTCCGAGTACATCACCTCAAAAGAACTCCCTGAGTCCACCAGCACCCTCTTGACATCAAATTTGCCAATCTTCAGATTTAAGACCAAGGTATCGTTATGGGGGGTGACCACGCCTGCCAGATCCGTATCAAAAAATATGATGTTTGGCTTGCCAATTTGAGACCTCTTGCTGGGTTGGCCGCCATCCCCTTCAGCCGCCTTTCTCATGAATGCCACCTTTTTTAGTTTAGATTCAAGTTTCCTGGACGTCAGACACTGCAATGGGCATACATGGATTACGTCTATGACATTATCTTGCACAGCAGCCAGAATTGAGGCTTGACCACCCAATTTTGGCTCAATGTACTCTTTCAGATGTCTGTCTCGGACCAATCTCTCCAAAAAGGATTTGTACGCTCTACAATTTTCGGTGCGGTGGCCAAAGTCTTGGTGATAAGAACATCTGTCCTTTTAGTCCCGGGAGGACGAGTCGCCTTGCATTTTAGGGGGCCACCTGAAGAATGGCTCATCCTTGACTTTCGGGAGCAACCTATAAATGGGTTCCTTAAACATGGTGTGGATTCCCTTAAAGGAACTTCTTGAGGGGGGTATCAAGCCCCTTCAGGAAGAGGCAACTTCTTTCTTCTTATCTTTACTCTTGGAGGTGAGGTACCTGCCTCTACCACCCCCACCTCATCTTCAATCTTGGAGTACTTATTTATTCAAGCCATCAATTCGCCCATGTCTGAGGGGGTCCTCTTTGTCAAAGACCGATATAGGTCCGTGTCCCTAGACAGGCCCAATCTGAAAGATGCAGTTGTCATAACTTCCGAACACCCCTCCACCTCGTTGACCTCCTCCTAGTAACGGATAGCGTACTGGCGGAGGGTTTCCCCTTCTTTGCGTCTGAGTGTCAACAAGGATCCAATATCCTTGGGGAGCTTACTCCCTATGATAAATCGGGCTGAGAATTGTCTAGTTAACTCTTTCCAAGACCCAATACTGTTGGGAGGGAGAGTCTTGAACCATTTCATATCGGAGTCTCCCAGGCTCATAGGGAAAAACCCGACATAGTAGTCGTTGGTCTGATTGGTACAAGGACATCATTTGCTTGTATTGTCTGAGGTGAGCTTCAGGATCGGATCGCTCGTCGTAAGTTTTGAACCGTGACACTGTGAATTTTTTGGGTACCTCTATTTCTCGAATATCTCTAGTGAAAGGGGATTGTAAGGTTTCATCGTCCGCTTCACCCTGGACAACTTTACTCCTTTTGGAGTCCAGATGAACCCTGAGGTCAATTTCCTCCTTGGGGGGGGGGGGAGACCCTCCCAAGTCCCTGTGCTGGTTGATGGGGCACCTCCTGCCCAGGTGTTGAGGGGAGAGGGGAGAGTCCTGCTCAGACTCCTCCATGCCCCCTTGCCTAGACAGTCCCCGACGGAGGTCATCCTAAGCCAAAGGCCTCGCCTTCTTGGTGCGACCACGCGGAGAATGTTTCCTGGCTCTTTGACGCTTTGGGGCTCTGGAACTTTCAGCCTTGTCGTTCAAGTGATTCCGCAGGTCTTCGGTTTCCACTCCCTTAACGAGGCGTGCGTGGAAACAGAACGAATCCCTGGACCCTTCGCCGGCGGGTGTAAATTGGTTAAGGTGGCTCAGGAGGTTCATGTTATCCTTCTCCAACTACCGCAGTCGATCTCTGAACTTTTCCTCGATAACTTCAGACAGTTGACGAGCCAAGGGGGCGGACCCCCATGACCTGATGCCCATACTGGTTTGAGGGTCATGCTGTCTTGGTTGGGAGAAGATGCTCCTGTCATCACCGTCACCATGACCCTTTGTCCTAGGGTAAGGAAAAACTTGTGATTCTAGGATTTTCTGTTGGTGGTCTTTCCCTTACTGTCGAGTATTCACCATGGTCGTTATTTCTTTAGAAAAACCAGGAGTGTTCGTTTCCCACAAACGACACCAGATTATGCGTATTGAATTTCGCACAACTAGAGAAACAGAAACAGAGGTCTTTCATGGTGAACTTAGGATCATTTAGGTAGTGATTTCGACGGGATGAAAACTCTACACTCCGGGATGGAATATCCCTAAAGGAAAGCTGATCTGCCAGAAAGCAGGTTTTAGCGATAAGGGGTAGGTTGAGAGGGACAAAGGGACCTTAAGGATTGGTGATGAGTTGATATTGGGTCGCCGGGCCGGTCCTGGGACATTGAGAAACGATCCAGCAACAGAAAAATGGGTTAGAAGGGTGCCGGAGTACTCTCCGGCATTTTCCCTCCGACGATCAAGTCAGTTTCTTGAGGATGGGGAAGAAGAAAACACTATAGTTTTGTTTGAGAATTTTTTGCGTACCTTTACAATGAAGGTTTCAAGACTATTTATACCTTAGAAGTTCATGATTGCTGACTGTCTACTCAACAGTTATTCGTCAGAGATGGGACAGTGTGCCCCCTTACTTTTATGGGGGAGTGGGTTTTTGTCTTAACTGGTCGTGGTGCTAAGAGCCAAATATTTACTCCTTGGAACACCGACTAGTCAATTTCTCTCCTCGGCAGGAATGTATTAAATGCCCTGGTATGGGCATCTTTAATGCATTTCACATCTCGCCCCCCGTGCATTAATTGCTATCTCATCAAAAAAGGGTTCATTAAATGCTTGCTTGCTTGAGTCGAATGTCAGTGGGGGTATCCAGGTCTTTTTACAACTGATTTGATATTGACTTCCACGTGTCCATGCCTTCTTGGTTGCGTGTCATGCATCCCTGACCCGTCTGACATTACTGATCAAAGTGCCTTCATGATGATTAGTCTAGCCTCCCCTAGGCTAGCCATCTAGTCAATCATCACCCATTTTTATAGAAGCAGAGGAGAAGTTGGATCCGAACTCCATGAGGAACACCTCGATACCGAGGTCACTAATCTACCTCGGATGAAGGGGTTACCAAGCCGAGAACACGCGTTGCTTAGCCGATGGCTTCCCCCCCCCCCCCCGGGGATTTACATCTCCCTCGACAACGAGGGCGAGTGTCACCAAGGACACGTATCCGTACAGACGTCGCGGACACGTGTCACCATCTGTTCTGTCTCAAAAAAGTCCCAGCAGATAGTAATTAGTCCGGACAACAATCTTAGCTCGAAGTTGATTATCCCGAATTAGAAAGATATGCATTAAAATAAAAGCACAAGACTTCTTCTAATACCCTATAGATGTTGGTTGCCAAGCTGGAACGCACACAGGAAAATAGATAACCGGGGAAGAAAATAAACTTGTGGGTCTTGCAAGCAAGAAGACTGAGAAATGGTTTGCGAATCTTGCGGGTCCCATTGTTCAGAAAAAGAAGACTGAGACCGGCAACAGTATGAAACCACCACCCAACTTTTTTTTTTTTTTTTCGGTAAGTACCTCCCAACTTCCTTGTCTTCAACCACTCCCATCCCAATCAACGCTGTATTTTCTATTTAAACATTCCATATTTACTTCACAGAATACCCAGTGCAAAAATCACCCACTGCAACTTCATAATACCCAGAACCCATCCATTTCATCACATCTTCCATTACAAACACCACTCTTCCAATTGAATTTCAGGTTCATGTTTTCGTCATCATCCTTCACCAGCCTATTGGTGCTACAGAAACCGAAAGCTTCTGTCATTTGAGACGATAGCAATGGGTTACTGGAAGCTGCTTTTCTTCGCTTCCCATATCCTTATGAGCTTTCTTGGCCTCAGCAATGGGCAGACGACTATTTTGTGGAAATACTCCTGTGAAGACAATGGTACTACCAGCATGTATGAGTCAAATAAAAACACCCTTCTCTCCTCCGTCGCTCCCAATATTGGTAGAAATGGCTTCTACAATTCCTCTTTTGGCCAAAACTCTGATAGAGTTAACACAATTGCCCTATGTCGGGGAGATGTTAACCTGGATATCTGTCGTAGTTGTGTCAATGACTCTACCCATGCGCTCTTGCAACTTTGTCCAAACTCCCATAGGGCAATTGCATGGTATGATTATTGTATGTTAAGGTTCTCAAATTACACCATATTCCACCAATTAGATAATGGGCCAGCTACTGCTCTGGTGGGCGGAAGCAATATAGCAGATTCAGAAGTGAATCAGTTCTATCTGGCACTACAGATCTTGTTGGACAGACTACGGGAACAAGCAAAATCAGGAAATTCTTTGCGCAAGTTTGCTAGTGGGAGCGTTAGTTTCCTTCCCTTTCAAACAATATATGCACTTTCGCAGTGCACCCCTGATTTATCTGACATCCAATGTGACGAGTGCCTAAATGGGGCTGCTCAAAAAATCCCGCATTGTTGCAAAGGAAAAGCAGGGACGAGAGTTCTAAGACCCAGCTGTTTTCTTAGGTTTGAGTCCGCGATTTTCTATAATGAAACTCCGGCTGCACCACAATCATTGCCACCACCACAGCAACTGCCACCACCGCTGCCACCTCCAGGTATGGCTCTGATTAGGTGTTTATTATTAGATTGAATAGTTGAAAGATCTCCGCATAGGCCTTTCGTTTTCGTTTTGAGTATTAGAGCAGTATAAAGAAGTGATATTAAGAAAATAGTATGTGGGATCTACCTTATATGTTATTTGTTTGACATTTTATAGTCAGTATTATTTTTCAGATCGTAATACCGACCTGCTATGAACAGTAGCTATAATGCCTTGTAAAAGGTCTTAATGAATACCACATAAGGAGTGATATTATATTCTTGTTATAGGTATTATAAATTAAAAAGATCGAAATGCCCTCTGGTATAATTTTCATATAAAAGTCTAGTCGCAATTTTTGATTTTTTAAAGGTTAAAATTGTCTTTTACATTGGTTAGTCACAATTGTTGACTTTTTAAAGTAAGTATTACACATATAATATTTGTGATAAATAAACAAGAAGAATGATGAGATTATAATTTAATACCGGGTATAATATATTATTAGATCGAAATGAAATAAATATAAAATCTTATACCACCTAAATTTTATATTCGAAACAAACATGACCCGGTGGATACAACTATTTCCTCCTATCCTCAAAAAGTACAATGATATTGGAAAGGTTTCTCACTCAGTTAGTCTTAAAAATATGGCGAATTTGAGGTAACATCGATGATCGACCTGACGGGCATAAAAATGTCAAATATTTTTTTTATCTGCAATTTAAGCAGAAATAAATAAATTCAAAGGCTAAGGACAATAGGTTAGTTTACATGCTTTGTTCAACCGAGAAATTTGACACACTATGATGAGTGATTTTCAGTAATCTATATAATAATTTGACCAACCATCACCACCCGCCACACGTCGTCATCCACCACCACTGCCACCCATTGTCGACCCCACCCCCACCCCCAAAAACATAAAGGGCATTTTTAAGAGTGCCTAAAACATATTTTTCCCTTTCGGAGATGTGGTGGTCACAATGAATTCAACATCCCAAACCTATCATTAATATAATGAAAGCACATTTCTGGAATTTTGCAGGCAAAGACAATAGCAAAACTCGAACTATCTACACTATTGTTGTTCCAACTCTCATCTCTCTGATCCTTATCATTTTCATTTATATCTTTCGAAGAAAGAGGAGACAATGGAAGCATAGGAAGTCAGAACAGAAATTTGACAGTAAGTTTTTTTTTTCCTGATTAATGAGAGTACTANAGAAAGAGGAGACAATGGAAGCATAGGAAGTCAGAACAGAAATTTGACAGTAAGTTTTTTTTTTCCTGATTAATGAGAGTACTAAAACTGATTTTTCATAGTTTATTTGAAAGTTAGGCCCCAATTATTGTGTCATAAATGATCATTACCTAGAACATACGGGAGATACAACAATTTCAAGAAAAATGCTACTTGAACTTAAAAAAACATAATTGATTTGTTGATTTGATAATTACAACTATTGAATAAATAGTAGGTCCCAATAAAATAGTATGACCCATAATTAAATCAACTATATTGATTGACAAAGTCAATTTTTAAATTCATGTAGCACTGCTCCAATTTCAAATATTGTCAACCATGTATACTAAGACTTAATTTGTGCACAACCATTAGATTGATAGTAGGTTAGTATTCGTTAGGGCCCAATTTAATGATTGTCATGAATTAAATCAACAAATTATATCAACAAATGAGGTGTCAATAGTATCATTGGTATACTGATCAGCGTGCTCTAGTTTATACTTGTCAAAATCATTGATATACAAAAGGAGAATGTCTCTTGAAATATCTACAATGAACTAGTAGTTAATGCATGAAAATGTAAGAGAGGAATGGGTTCAGAAGTTCATATATCTATCATCAAGGATTAAAAAAAAAATAGTGACACTAGTCGAATATATGATCTATCAAATATATGATCTATGTTTGCTGTAATGCATAGTTATTGTCATATACTACTCTGATTTGGTTTAGCACAATATTCACTTCCAAATTTGAAGACGAGGGTGAAATCACCAGCATAGAAACCTTGAAGTACAACTTTGGTACAATAGAAATAGCTACAGATAACTTTGCTGACAGTAACAAGCTTGGAAAGGGTGGATTTGGGGCTGTTTACCAGGTAATACAATACTTTCCCTTCTGAAAATTTATCTAGTTGCATCAAATAAAAAAATATTGTTGCTTAAGAGTGTGAATTTATTTAATATTGGTTTTGATATATTTATAGGGTATGCTTAAAAACGGGAAAAAAATAGCAGTGAAGAGGCTGTCCAAGGATTCCATACAAGGTGAAAATGAGTTTAAGAATGAAGTGTTATTGTTGGTAAAGCTTCAGCACAGGAATTTGGTTAGACTCCTAGGTTTCTGTCTAGAAAGAACAGAAAGGCTCCTCATATATGAGTTTTTTCCCAATGGAAGTCTTGATCGTTTCATATTTGGTATGTAGCCTCCAACAATCCTCCTTTTCTAAAGTTCTTATCTTTATTAACTTAATCTAGAATACAAATCTCCTTACATAGATAAAATGACAAATAGAGAAAAAAATTAAGACATTCAGAACAATTTGATATCCTTATCTCAAATTTGTTTTGCTAATATTTAAACAATCTCTGCCTAATTCGTGTGCTTGGTTGGAGTTGTAGATCCAACAAAACGAGCACATTTAGATTGGGATATGCGCTACAAAATTATAGGAGGCATTGCTAAGGGACTTCTTTATCTTCATGAAGATTCTCGACATCGAATCATTCATCGTGATCTCAAAGCTGAGAATATTCTATTAGATGCAGAGATGAACCCTAAAATTGCGGATTTTGGAATGGCAAGACTTTCTGTGCTTGATGAAACTCAAGGCATTACAAGTCGTATTGCGGGGACTTAGTAAGTATGAAATGATTCTTAACTTTTGTTTCTCTATCATTGAATAGCACAAAAGTTTTATAAAACTTTGCAATTAATCTTGAATATACAAATTAAGTGGTTCTAGAAAATGTCCAAGGAAAAACACAAGAGGCTTAAGTTGAAGCTTGTCTTCAAGCCTAAGAACGGTCTTCAACCTCTAATGCTATTATCTATGACTAAATAATTACAGCGGCTATATGGCACCAGAGTATGTAATGCATGGACAATTCTCAGTTAAGTCAGATGTTTTCAGTTTTGGCGTGATAATTTTAGAGATTGTAAGTGGTAGAAAGAACAACTCTATGCGACAAGGGGAGAATGTAAAGGATCTCCTTAGCTATGTAAGTTTAAATAAGGAAGATTCATTACTAGCCGCATAAATTATAATAGAAATAAATCTTATAACTTCACATGTTGCATTTTTGCAGGCTTGGAAAAATTGGCAAGATAGAACGACTTTAAATTTGGTAGATCCCAAATTGATTGTGCGTTCATGTTTAGAACAAGACCTAATGAGATGCATCCATATTGGAATGCTTTGTGTTCAAGAAAATGTAGCAGATAGACCAACTATGGCTTTAGTTATGTTGATGCTTAATAGCATCTCTCTCAGTCTTGCAGTACCTAAAGAGCCTGCATTTCTCATATTCAACAACAATAGTGATTCAGAAATGCCATTGTATCGGGGGTATAACTCAGGTGTGACTCAGGCCAATCAATTAGAAAGTCAATCTATGAATGAGGCTTCCATCACCGAGTTATATGCTCGATAGTGTTACAAGTTACATATTTTTGGTTCCACTTGTATTTTTTAAACTACAAGATTTATTTATAATGTCAGCTAACACATCATTTGGGTTCTATTTCTAGTTCCTTTTTTTAATCTTTGCAGCATTACCTTTTGATAATAAGGATGTTGAAATGATTTTCGTTCAAGCTCTTTGTTGTGAATCCGAGCTTTTGTGTTGAATTGATTGGGAATAGGATAGTAGATGCTTTATTTTTTTGAGTATGACCTGTGGTAAACGGATAGTTTTGCTGCACCTGTTTTAATGAAAGGATCTGTATGAATATGGCTAAAAACAAGGTATTCTGGACATAGAATTGACGGAGGAACATATATATGTTGGACAAATTTAGACATGAGACATGACTTATACTCGATTCATTCACTCTAATACACTTTATATGTAATTTGGAGACATAACTTGGGGATACAATATACTGGTGTTATTGAATACTGGTCCCTATCAAATTCTAACAATAATCTTGTATCTAAAGAAATTATTTAATATCAAAAATCGAATTGATCTTCTAATATTTATATTTTAAATAAAAATTTAATTTTTTTAATTGCATAATTTAAAATTAAAGTAAAGAGAGAGATAGGTACCCGTTATGCATTTATAGAAGCTTAGTTATACACGATATGTGATTTTGCACATTAAATAATAGTGTATCAGAAATAATCTCAATCTAATGATATTACAAGATTTGAAATCAAAATGATACAGTTAAAAATAAAATAAAATTATAGAGATATTGTGAATGACTATGTCCATTTCCACAATAACTTCTATTATCGTAACTATCACTAACACCATCATTATTATCGCTACCATTGTTACTATGGTTATCGTCATAACAATTGTCACAATTTTTTTAAGTTAATTATCTATATTCTGTCATTTTGAAACAAACATACTAATTTATTATTATTTTAAATTTATTTATCAAATTATGATATTTTTTTAAAATATATTTAACAATTACACTTTTAATGTAAATACATGTTTTTTAAAAATTACAGTTTTTATAAAAAAAGCGTACAACAAATACGATTTTGTTGAACAGTAATATTTTCTCCGTTCTTAAATATCTGTCGTTTTGAATAATTTTTTGTGTTCCATAATATCTTTCGTTTAATGAAACTAAAGCATAATTAATATTTTTCTTCCAAATTTACCCTTATCTCTATTTTTTAATAAGTGCTTAATAGATTAAATATAGGCTAATAGTATCTTTCAAATTCTTTTCCTTCTCAATACGTATTGAATAATGATATTTTAGTCTTGTGCAATTATTTTTTACTCATATTAGAGCTATTTAATAGTTTTCTTAATTGTTGTGTAAAAATCTTAAACGACAGATATTTAGGAACGGACAGAGTATTATTTAGACCTAAAAATTTAACTTAATTTGCTGACATAATGATATGGTTTCAACAGAATCATTTGATTAACATTAAATTTTAATATTTAATAAATTTCATAATTAATTTAAAAATTATAATAAATTAAATCTCAATATCATTACTCTTTATTAAAAACATGCACGTATATTAGCCACACTTCTTGCTGGTATCTTGTGTCAGAGAGTTTTTTTTTTTTTTGGGTCGTGTCTTGTGTCAGATAATCATCAAAAATGTCTCTCTTCTCATTTACTCTCTGTCCTCGTCTTCTCTCTCTCCCCCAAACAAAAGACTAACAACTCACCTAACACTTGACTAGATGCAAGAAAAAGGGTTTTTGAAATACACATTTTCTTAAAAGGTGTGTTTTTAAAACAACACATACCGACGACTCGCCTAACACTTGACTGGGTGCTAGGAAAATAGTTTTTGAAATACACATTTTCTTAAAAGTTGTCTTTAAAACACGCTTTTCTCAACATGCTTTCGTTTCGGTTGTGCCATTAAAAAGTTATCCCTCCAGTCATAAATTTTTGTCATTTAAGATTTTTATACAAGGATTAAAAAAGTTATTAAATAATTTTAATATGAGTACAAAATAATTACACAAGATTAAAATACCCTTATTTGATATGTATTACGAAAAAAAAGAATATAAAAATACTTAATTTTCACCTAATCTAATGCATTGAAAAGTTAAGGATAAATTTAAAAAAAAAAATATTAATTATATTTTGATTTCATTAAACGACAAATATTATGAAACAAAAAAAATTATGTAAAACGACAGATATTTAAGAATAGAGATAATATGTTTCAAGAATATATTTTTGTATGAAAATATATTTATCAAACACATTTTTAAAAAGTGTCATTATTTACTAAATAATTTTTCCCAACAATAATTGGGTCCTAGACGAGAATATAAATGGACCCATTGACAATTATATATAAATTTGGACTCATTTTTTTTTTCGCACGTTATATTATGTTTCTTACTTTTTAGTTGACATGCTAGAATTTGATCCAAACTATCTCCAAGTATTTTATTTCTTATTTATTTAGAATTAGCTTTTAATTAGAGTTTTATTGAATTTAAGAATTTTGACATATAAAGTATTCTAGTTAATTTTGAGTAGTTTAATTAAAGTTAAAATAGGATTGGTATTATTAGTTTTTTAATTGGTTTAAATTTCTTTAGTATTTAAACCTTTACTTATAATTGTACTTCATGAATGGTGACAGAAGCTTTTGGGGGTTGAAATTTTTTTTTTCGGCAGAACCTTTGCGGCTGTCCTATATTTGTCTTCTTCAGTTTTTTTTTTTTTTTTT